GGCTATGTTCGAATTGGAGCGGAAAATGGTAGCAATCAAGTCTGATATTATCCGAACATCACCATCAAGATGGTTGGTTGTGTGCGCATGGTCAGTATGTTTTTCATAGTCAAAGTAAGAGCCAGAAATGAATCATTCTCCGTTTATTTTTCACTACTCTCATTTGTAGAATGGCAAAATGAAACCAACAAAGCGACAATTTGCACCAAGAAATAATGGATACTTTCAACCTTTTTTCTAAAATATTTTTATCATGGAAACCGACTGATAGTCTGCTTTACAAATCCCTATTTGAAACTCGGTACACCATTATTGTAAACACCAGTAATATGATGATAAATGACAAATCGTGGAGCCCAAGTAACCCGGTTTTCTCACGCAACTGACAAAGTTAATGAATGGGCGATCTTTAAAACCACAGTGACATGACTTTCCAGATCGATCTTGCATGTGACATTCACGAGATGCCCCACAGTTGCAATAGAGGTAGTTCTTTTCTTCCCGACGTAACCATAGTGTACAATACTTCTTGAGGTGTTGAGACAAGTCCCTTTTTACATGAATTATTTACCACACGTCCCAGATTGGTAGATTGGTATGCTCCAGACTATAGCTTAAATAATTTGACAGCTCGGTTGAGTTCCAATAATTGGTTATTTGTAATACACTAATTTGAGTTTGACTGCGAGAATTGTTGAAGCAACAGCTCTTCTCAATGGCTGTGCGAACCCTTCGGTGTGCCAACCCCAATTAAATGTCACTCTTTGGTAAAAGTCATGACTAGGAACATTAATTCATTACTTTTTCAGGGACCGACCAAAGTGTTTGATTGATGAGTCCTCCTCCTTCTTCTTTGTCTTTCAGCTCGTCTACTCAGCAACTCTTTCGGTCTATGAATGAGAAAAATCGAAAAAGATTAGGTCCATAAGGTTTCAACAGAGTGAAGCTACACATGTTGCTGTATTAATCACTGCACGCTTTATATCCATGACTGTCTTCTGATCAGTCAACCTGTTCTTCTGTCCGCGGTGCAGTTTCATGCGATTGGAATGTTTTCGACATACTACTGGCGATCAACCGCACAGAAAATATTATCTACATTTAGCACTTATCCGTACATTGCACTCACCGCCGGACGTAAGTCAGTATCGAATCAGTCAACGACCCCTTACCGTGCAGACCGTTTTCCGCCTCATAACGTTTGCAAGCATCATTATGAATCACTGAAGAAACCTGTTTACTCTTCAAACACATTCTATCAATAGTATTCTGTTGTAAATGGATTGTTGGATAACTCATGACCAATTTCATTTTGGCTTACTATTGGACGATCACGTATGTGTTATCTTTTATTATTTTTCCCTGTAGTTTATTATCCATGAAGATATTTTGAAATATGTTGTTGGATTCTCATGATATTCGCGAGTAAATTGCCTTATTCATTATTTCAACTATAGAAGAGACAACAGGCTTTTAGGCTGAAAATACTAACCAAATGTTGCAAATAACATGTTTCATTCTATTAAATCTCATTTACCCTCTCGTATATTGATCTTCGAATAAAGTACTCCACTCTTCCCAGCACTGCCTTGGGGAATTATAACACTATAAGTGGTTCATATCTTTCTGTAAATCTCACTTGACTTCGGTTGGTGGTTAAGTAAACCATTTTAGGAAGCCACTGAAAAAAACACTTTATTTGCCAAATGGATATTCTACAGTGACGCACGTTTTATCTGCAGTTTCCTCTAACAGCAAGTCATTGCTTGGTAAAAAAAAGTAAGTGATTGTTTACTAGTTACACTGAGGAAGCTCCACTTACCTTGGAAGAGCGCGTACTTAATTCCAATACCCAAAAATCCATGTCTGTCTCGTATTGTTCAGTTTATTTATAGTTAAGTTCAATTTCGAACCTCAGTAAAACTGTCCCCCAGTATGAAAGTAGACCGCAGTTGTCACCTAACTGCATTCAACTTTCATTGTGCTAAAATAGGAGACTGTGTCCATTGGGTAATCTACCAGACGGTTGAGTTTGCGGTAAGAATCGTGAGCGTTTTAGAGATGCCTGAAAGTGTCCCACAAATTAAACTATTTATTTAATGTTTGGATATATGCTCTCGAATAGTGGCAAATTCACAACGAAATAAGCCAATAAGGGGCATGAAAACTTCTCAGCGGGATTGGGTTTCCATTTTCAAGAATGCTCTGCATCATTGGGGCATTACGTGCCGCGTAAATTCTTTCACAATTTAAGCAAAGATAAGCCGTTCTCGTTTATGATTCGCATTCCCTACGGCTTCTTCCACGCAGGATGGAAACGTTTACGATCCCACAGTAGGATAACCCGGGAAGTCAAGTGAACTACGGGGTTATGCACAGATAATTTGACCAAAAGGGAGAGGGATAACTGATTCCAGAATTGATTGTGAGTTGTCAGCCGTGTCCAAATCGTAAATGATGATCGATAAGATTGCATGCTGCTCAGTTGCGCGTTAAGCTTGTTGGACCGGACAAAAAGAAACAATTCATTTCGCCCTCCGAATCGGAACAGATAGAGATGGGAACTACAAATATTTTTGAAACGATTTACTCAGTTCTTAATATTCAACTTTGGTGACGTTTCTCTCTCTCTGTTGGTAACATACTGCGACAAAAGCACACTCATCATAAATGCTGGCAGGAGCAAAATAGCCCACCCACCACTACGTACCTAGAGAGATTAGCTACTTAACTACTTATTGATTGGTTAGTTACAGTCAGTTATTTCTGAGAGAGATCTGAGTATGAAATTGTTGGCACAGACGTGCTTGCTGTCTTGGGACTGTTGGACAGCTCGAAGGAGAAGTAAAGGCAGTTCACTCCACTATGAAAGAAAAGCTGTCAGAACAACCCATGCCTCGAAGTGATGGTTGCGATGAACGAAACCGACTGTCTGATTCTTGTTAGTAGTATATGCATTTAACTGTTAAATGTTTTAGATTTTGTTTGTTCTGTGCGCGTTAGTCATCGGTATGTATCATCTCAGTAAACTACGAGACAGAACTGCGCGAAAACGCATTATCTGGCCATGATCAAATTGACCACTGGAAACTAACGTTTCAGTCCACTGGTTGTGAGCTCGATCTCAAGGTTCAACATTTTAAATGTTAGTCTCAGTGAATTATAACAAGAGACAATTGACTGCGTCGTATTCCAGATATCGGTTTTATCCCAACCCGACTGGTGGTATATCGATTGAAGCGGTTGTAGCTGAGTGTGAGGACGAAGTTTGTCCGATTACCATTCTGCACTTCATGGTTTCATACGAACAATATTCATCACAAAATTTGTTGGATAAGAGGGATTTTTATAGGATACGGTTTCACTATTCTTGCTGTTATTCCCGATTGGCAAGTCTTTGTTACTGATTGCTCGCACAACCCGGCCATCATTTCAGTAAGTTTTAGGCATGACGGTTGTAGCTCCTGAATGCGTCCAAAGAAACAGATGGCGTGAATGTATTCGCATGGTTTGCCTTCAAAACAGCAAGTAAGAATAATAAAAGATACTCTCTCTCTCTGTCCAAAAAGCCCATAAGTTATTATTTAGTTTGCCACTAGTGTGCCTAGCCTGGGTTGCCAGCCCGACAGTAAGCACAGATGAGGTTAATTCCTTCCACTGTTCCTCATGAGTTTGGCCCTGTTGGACAAAACATTTCCACAGTCCTGGGCAGAGAGAGAGAGGGCGAACGCTGTCTGTGCACTTACCGAGAGCAGATCCCCTTTATGAAAGCTCAGGGCGTTCGGAGTACATGGATCGTGAAAATCGTGAATCGCTTGTGCCATACGCGTCCGAGTGAGATCTGTACAGGTAGTAAAGCAAAGTGTGCTCAGGGTAACGCGGATTGGTGAAATCTCAGTCAACAATTTGTTGCAATTCACCTCAATTATTCCAAGAATTAAGATCTCGGATATGACACAAGACGATAGAATAGTTGCTATCCAATAGCGACACAGCAGCGACAGTTCATAGCTACTTTTCAATTCAAGTCAGTGATTTTATGCAGCGAACTTCAAAAATGACTTGTATAACACAAGGCAGTAGTCGATCAAGGACATCACCCCTACTAAATGGAATTTCGTGTGGTAAGGTAAACATATTCTCCGTCCGCAGGACGGAATCTTCATTACTCACACTGTACTCAAACGCATAAAATATTTATGAAAGATGTAAAAATAACAAAAAAGGACTGGCAATTCAACAAAGTTGTAATAAATAAGGGAAGCAATCTTCACTCCGGATAAAATAAACTGATTGTAGAAGTTTGTTATTTGCTCGTTCAGAATTGGAAAACTAGAAAATCCAGGACTGAGTGATTTGGAGAAATCACTGTTTGAAAGAATAGACGTCAGATAAAAGTCCAATGTAAAAACGTCGCAATCTACGGTGACCTGTCTGATTACTGGTTTTCGCCTCAAAAAGTGCGTTGAGATGATACGCAGAACAAAACAAGAGTTTCCAGATTGCTCTCAATTATTGAAGAACCGCGAGCGACATCTTTTAAATTTGTCTCTCTTTTCTGGTAAAGAAAGATTATTCATTGCTCGTCAAAAATTGGTCCGGGAGAAAGCCTATTCACCGGAGCGCATTAGTACCTACCCTCATTGCATAGAAGTTATTTGGTTTAAAGTCAGTAAAGATTAAGCGCAGTCTTTTATGGTTCCAACCGTTTCAAATATATTGAAAGCACTTCCACCAGCGATGAAATGCAAACCCTCGCATATAAAATTCCTGTTGCAAATATTGGTTACGGATATGCATCACTGACAATGCTTTCTCCGATTGTATTTCCAGGTTGATGGGAAGAACTGCTTTTCCAGTATCAACACAAAACCGGAAGACTGTTTATACATAGTCCTAGTCAAGAATAAAACTTTACAACAATAAATATTGTCACTTGTCTTCTCCTTCTCAAAATATATGGGTGTTGTTCAAACTCGAGCGATAAAACTCCCAATCTGGAAATAAATTTTAGTTCCAAGTATCATAGCTGTATATCGACAGCTATGACTGATGAACATTTATTCCAAACTTTATCTCCCATTGGATTTTTATTGATTCTCTGGCATCATCATTTGAACTTGTGCAACCTTGAGTGTTATGATTAAATTCGAAATAGTTCGAAAGTTATAGATCAGAATTAAAAATATACTTTATGCAAATCAGCATGGAAGTTCATTCGTTCTAATTAATGATTACTATTTACTGAAGGTGTTTAGTCTGGTCAATATACGTATTCTATGTAACATTTCTTTTTTCATACAGCCGAATAATGAAGTTATGCGACTAAAAACCACTCACGTAAAATCTCCCATCCTGAAGGGATTCTAACGATATTCGAAGCAACACAAACTGATCTTCAGGAGTTGACTATGAGGTATGCGGCTGGTTGAATAAGCGTCAAGTAGTATCCCCGAGCCCAACGCGGATGCAACATCCTGTGCATGAGGCTCAAAGCGCCAAGCGTTAAGGGTAACGACTCTGACGAAAGTCAGGGTGTCACACGACGTCGATCAATACTTGTGTATATATGAATATATAGATTTGCGAAATTTTCACTCCCTCGGGGTAGGAAACTTATAGAGGGTTGACTTGGGGATGAGAGATGGAGATGATGTTTTGTTAAAAGTGGTTTGCTTTCCTGTTGCAAGAGCGTGCAATACTTTGTCTGAACCTTTCCCATTAATCTTGATGAATCAGTTCAACAAATTATGACAGTTCGCAGTTGATATTTGAGGGTTGATTATCGACCTATTTGTCGTCATTTGTTATCTTTCCTTGGGAAATCCGTGTTTCCCGCCTCATTTTGCTATTAAAATAACAAAATCTCGGGCGTGATTGATGTCGGTAAACGCATTCAATAATGATCAATATTTACTCGCAGAGAAGCAGTAAAAACACACCTTGGCGGTAATCGGCACTAGTCGATTCAGGATTATGTTATACTTGAAAATTAGCCATGGTCAAACTCATTTTGAACCACTGTACGAGGCTGGCGTTTCGAAAATCTCTCAGGCTATATACATCAAATGTTTGGATAGCTAAATAAATAAAGTTAAAATATATACGTTTTTTGGGGGGGATAGGAGGCTTAAAATAAAAGTCATTCCAACGAGTTACGTAGTCAAAGCTTGAACGATTGCAACTTTGAATGAAAGAGAGATTCAAGTATTGTACAATTTGACCGCTAATTGACACTTCTGGAGCGGTAGAGTTACGGGTGTCTCTTAAGCTAGGCAGTTATAGAGAATGCAAATGGAGAACCCCACCGATAGTTAACGTGTTGTTATGTTTAATATAAAAATGTTCCCGGCCTTCGAGGATCAATCGATAATGATTTGAGTAAATAACCATACTTATGACTTTCAAATGTGGTCCTTCGGGTTCGATGGGGTTTCAGTTTGTCTCCATTAAACTATGCAATCCACAAGGGTAGGTTAAATGTCTGTTAGAAGCGAATGGAGCCCAAAGGTAGGGTGGTCCAATGTGGCCGACCCAATAACATCCTGCTTTACCCTAATCCGCCATAAGGACTTTGACAAAGTTCTGACACAAAGTGTAAAATGTTTTGACTCCTCTGAATAATGACATATGAGAACTGACTGCGAGGTACCACAATGAATCGAATTTGTTCATGACATAATCAATAGCTGCATCAAACCGTATTGTAAAGTGCTACCGTACGTTTATTGGCAGATTTCGGCTGTCAGAAAACGTTTAAGTTTGCAGCATAGAAATACGTATGGAATTGATTTTTAAAAGTAGGTTGCCAGTAGCGATTATTTTCAATAAATCTTTTCCCCAGTAGTAATAGGCGAAAGTTGAATTGCCAATGCTTGTACCCTGATGGCATGGTGCGATTCTTTTAATGCATAAGGTACCGTTTTTTCTCATTGGCGAACATATTTTTCTGTGGCTTTTACTGTCTCTATCTATCGACAGGCTTCATGTTCTCTCTAAATTAATGAGATAACTAATTTTCAACAATCACGGGTTTGGAAAAGCTGAAAATTGAATGAAACAAAAACTCATGGTTCTCAACCCTTAACATCCACGGCAATCTTCATATAAGACTGCTCAATAAACGGAAATTGTGAACCCAGCACTGTAAAATGACATGAGTGTGTCAGGCATATCTGAGCTTGACACGAGTTTTGGAAAGGTATACAAGACAGGACAAGTCTATGTTCAGTGCATGTTGTAAAGAAAACGGTAACATCTGTACAGCGCGAGAATAGTGAGAAAGATAGTGACCAATGTCAAAATTGGAATCCTCATGCATCACTGAGCCATGAAACGTCACCAGGGCGTTGATAAAACAGTGCTCGTTTTCATTGTTTACCGAATGAATCTTTGCTCAAAACATTATAAAATTCCGACTGTCGTAATGGATTGGAACCTGGGGTAAAGAAACCCACAAGGCGTTTCGAATTGAGTGTTTGTATTCGAGTATACTGATGAGAGAAGACGATGGTGGGCAGACTACAGTAAATTAGACGGGAGGTAACACAGTATGTAACCATTATAGAAGTCAAGCGCACTAGTCTTCTCGGGCGACCACAAACAACCACTCTGGACAAACACTTTCAAGATTCTGTGGTCCTTATTATTATTATTATTATTATTATTATTATTATACTGGATTGCGGTTTTCGCGGAGATATTTTTTCATGCCAACATATTTTTCAGAATATCCAGTTTATGTAGTCGTGCGGGAAAACGCCATATTTCTGGTTGGTTTTGGATGTGTGCCGATTAACTGGTTGGAGGAAGTCATCTATCAAATTGAACAGACCAACTAGGACGAATCAACTATCAAGTATTTTAAAATAATTTTCGATGATAGCTGTTTTTTTCTTTAATTCTGGTCTTGAGAATGATGGTGAATTGTTAGGAAATTTTTTTATCGTTGTGACGATAACGGGACATATTCCCCCAAATATACAATGGGGGGATTAGAAAACATGAACAGTGTATTTCCGCTGAATCCTGTGGGTTTTTAACAAGGAAACTGCGGGTTTATATCTGATGCATTGATTAGTCTGGCTTTCGGCAACAACTTTCAGTATTTACCTGCACTTACTAGCACGATAAAGCGCTTTATTTGTTTTATGGAACCAAAGCTAGTTGAGGAAAAGCGCAACAACAACTTGCAGACTACCGACGAATAACGAACAGCCTTGAAGCTCCAAGGCTGCCGCGCGGGTTCCTAATTTGCAATTTTCGGACCAATGCTATGGTGAACCACACGGCTTAACTGTGGTAGTATGTAACTTTAAATAAAGATTCACTGACAATTTATCTTTTGTAATCATGATTCACTGTATAGGGTATGTTTTCTTATTGTATCAACTCATTACAAGATAATGAAAATCGGTTCAGTACAAGATCTTGCACCATGCAGTTCTATTAGTATTGTGAATATCCCTAAAAAGACTGAAATCAACACTTGCATCACAATAAAATCTATTCGCCCGTGCACTGCGATGACCTAATGCTAGGAGGTATCAAGCTGATGCAAAATGAACTAATGGCAATAAGAGTTTTGCAGTGGAATCAGAGAATTCAAGGGAGGTTTTGTGCAAAGAAATATCACGGTATAAAGCACGATCTAAATTGTATGATTTAACACATTTTATCGCGTTATTCACACACACCTAAGTCAATCAAGTATATTACCTCGTAATGAATGAACGATTCTTGCATTTACCTAGCATTTCGTTATTGAGGGAGCTTACCTTTAATAAAGCTGAAATCCGACGTGAAATAATCTTGGCTGTTTTTC